TTTCAACGATCCAGTAAACTCTCTAAGTCGTAAGTTGGCGGCTGTTTTTGGATCTGTAATTTTACCACCTGCCAGATCGGTTAGGAATCCAACACCGGATCTTAATGCTTCTTGTCCTACCGATTTTGCTCCGGACTTGATCAGCGGAGCGATGGTGCGAATCATACCGCCCAGAAAACTACCGATTCCATGTCCTCGCTGATATGGTGCACCGTGAAATACTCGATCAATAGCACCGCCAGTCTGTTGTAATTGTTGCCGTCGGTAGTATGCCAAATAGGGATCATTCAGATTGATTATCATTATTGCTGCTGTTGCTATTGCACTCTCCTAAAATGAAGTTTCACGTACGACGTTCCAAACATGAATGGCAGTTTTTTCCCTGTGTGATCCCTCAGGTCGATTTCCACTGTTTCAAATGTGGATTTCATAACGGGTACATAGTGCGGACTTGTGAATGACACTGAATTGTACGATCCGTACTTGTACGTGTCTATATTGACGTTGACAATATTCAATAATGGCGCTGTAGTATCGCCGATAAATTGTGGCTCTATTAAGTCGCAATACACATAAATATGTGCTGGAATACCCAGTGCGAGGTTTGGCGCTTTAGAACCAATCAGTTCGGTTATATTTGGTTTTAATATATTTTTCTCATCATAATCAAAACCCAACTGCTGTGATAGTTTTTCACTCAGACTCACATTCGACACGTTTTCGTTCATGATCCTGAGTTTAACTCTGTTGATTCCCGTGTCATATGAAAATTCCATATAATCGTGGATGTCTTCATGTTTGTTGATTGTATTCAATAGATCATCAAGATTCCTATAGTATCCGCCTGTTATTTTAATAGCGAAATGTTCTGTATCACGGATCGTTGATCTTGCTAATAAACTATCATACTGAAATCGTATTGTTTCATCATCAACATTGTTTCCATTCACCACAAATGAACAAGGATAGTGAATGTCCACCAAAGCCAATTCCCACTTGCCGTCTAATTGGATGTGTTTGGACAAGTGTGTGGTATAACTGGTCACTGTATTTTGTGGGAAATATTTCATAGAACTATTGCTGGGCAATGTCATGAAAAATTGACTGATGTTAGACATGTTGTATATCGTGCGCAGCTACCCAAGAGTTAAACTCGTCTCCGTAACCTTCCCACTTCACTAGGTATCGCTTACTGTGTCCTCGGCCTTTGGTCTCTATTATTTTATCAATCTTAAACAAGTGATTGCCGGGTAATGTGACTTTTTGTATTTCCTCTTCATAAAACTGTCCATTCAATTCTTCACCATTGAGATCGGTAAGTGTGTACAAAGGTAGCGGCATAAACAAATTCACTCGATGTATGGAAAACACTTCTTTACTCCAGTTTGTCTCATAACCTTTGCTAAATCTCCCTTTCTCCCTGGCTATTCGAACTGTATCGCCTACTTTTAGTTTTGGTTTCACTCGTCGTGGTATCTTTTTAAACATATGTTTTAATACATTGTAGATGACATGTTTGTCACCACCGTCCACATCTACAGGACGTAATCTATTGCCCAAACTCCTGTGCACACTGTTGTTGTACGCATTCACCAGTTTTTCCAACACATTGATATAACGATAAGTGTTTTTATGAGTCAAGTATCGCCACATACGAGTCTTCAAAGTCCGATTTACTCTTTCGATCACGCTGCCTTTGATGTCTGGATTTTGTGTGGTGACATATTTTATTTTATATTTTTGAAACAATCGTACGGTCTTTCCTCCTGTGAATTCACTCCCTTTGTCGGTTTGTAAGCACGTTGGTGTTTTTATAGCTTCCTTGAAAATATCCTCAAAAGCGGTAGCCACATCAGCACCTTCCTTCTTCTTTAACGGCCTAACATAAAGACGCTTACTAAACACATCAATCACTGACAGCAAGTAGTTAAAACCATCATTGTATTTGCTCAATCCTCGCATATCGTTTAAATCCGCTTGCCATAGTTCATATGGTCGAAACACCATATACGGATTGCGTTTAAATCGTTTACGGACTGGTTTATGCAAAGTATAAGTGTCTTGTGTTTGTAACCAATCAACTATTTTACGTTTGGAAATATTTTTCTCTCTCGCTCCTCGTACTAACGGAGCTACGCCGCCATATGAGGCAGGATCGTTTGGATTATAATACAACTGTTCCATTGTTTACGGTTCGTACGGTTCCCAATTGTTGAGTGACTGCACAATCGAATCTTCAAGCACCTCTCTTCTCACTGCACGGTGATCAGCCACTTGCCTCTGTGGATACGGAGCGTGACCCACTCGCCTCACATATGCCGACTGTAAACGATCTGGTAATAAATATCTTCTTCGTCCTGTAACTGATACCGTGGCTCCTCCTCCTCCTCTTGCCCCATCATCAGGTTCATCCATTGTTTCTTCTACCGAGTCATATACCGATTCGTCTGTTGCCTCATCAAACATTAAATAGTCCAACGCTTGTTTGTTATGTATATATTCTTTAGGGACATTCATCAGTTTCAATGCTCTCAACATTTCGTTCCATCCTGGTGGTAATGAATGTGCTGCTCGAACTCGTACTATTGCATGTGTCACGTCCACTAAATTGGATCCTGGTATTTTGTTACCCTGTATAATCACTTCAAAATTATCATTCCAGCTAATCAAACTGTCGTCGCGTGTTATGAAGCGCAATAAGTTTCGTGCGCTATCCTTATAAGTCTTTGAAAAAGTTTCAACAATTTCCTCTATTTGACCGGGGTAAATACGTCGCTGGTTAGGTTCTTGTTGCCCATGCTGCCTGTCTCTTTCACCCACCTCGTTAATCTGATCGTCTAGTCTGGTTTTCACGATGGGGATACTAACTGGTTCACGATTACTTGACGCTACGTTTAAAAAACGTTGTAAAACTTGACTGTACAACTTCCATTTATCACTATCATTGAGTTTTTTATCATTCATTATCTCTTCCATTTCGTCATCCAAACTTTTGTATGCACGTTTAGTTGGAAGTTGCTGTTGATTAGCAGGCGATTTTAAACGTTCGATTAACTCTTGTGGAACAATGACCATTTTTCGTGCATGCTCCATTGTCGTGTGCTCTGTGTAACTTCACGCACGGTGTCTCAGAATAGAATGACAAATCTTTATATGGATGTAAACGTAGAAGTCACCTGGTTAATACAATTTTAGTTATTCAAAGCTGATTGTACAACTGCTTGTAACACAGTACTTAATAATAATGGGATAATAATTCCACCTCCTTTTTGTACTAAATATTTGCGTTTTTTATTCCAACATTCACCTCGTTTTACAATTCGACGAAGAGTAGTCTTATGTCTTTGCAATTTTTGTTTTGTCTTCTCTGATAGAGGAACGTTACCTCGTAACACATTGTAAATGCATTCACAAACTGTACGAATAGTACTCAAGTCGCACACTTTTAATAGCCCTTTGCGCTCTTTTGGAGTAGCATGTATTAACACTTTGAGTAGCGCTCTGTCCTTCCTCAAGCACGACATGATGACGACTAAATTATTTTGTTTTCCTATTTTGTTTCGGTACGTACACAAAATGGTTATCATCATCTGGAAATATATTACTCTGTATTCGCATATCGTCAGGTGTTGATTGTTTCAGATCTATCAATAGGTAGCCATGTGGTCTACTTGTTGCATCGGCATACGCCTCCTCGATAAACTTTGAATTTTCTGGATGGATTTGTCTAGCTAAACACTTGATCTGCACCCTATCTCTAGGATTCTTAAAACAAACTATGTAATGCGCATTTAGTGATATGTCTCTCTGGCCACGTCCTTGGTGGAAAATATTTTGAGTTATAAAAAACACACTTATATTCCTATGATGACAACCTTTTGTAAATAGATCAACCACTATGTTGTTTGTTTCTCGCATCATATCATCTATTACCACAAGTATCGGTTGATTACCGTCAAAGTCTTCCATGTTTGGTAAACCTTCAATGTATTTTATTTTTGAGTTTGATGAATTACCAACTCCTCCTCCACCACTACCATAATGCCAGTATATGCTAGAGAATGATGTGTCACACATTTCTGAAATTTTATCAATAAACCTTGAGACAAACACTGATTTACCTCTACCTGAAGGCCCCGCCACAATGGCGGAGAATGGGTGTAACCACTTCAAAGTCATACTAACTACTGATACCAATCACTCATTGCTTTAACTATAGTATTACCTTCGGGTATAAGTCAATCATTTAAGTCAAGTATTTATGTTTGCAAATAAATGAAATATTTATTACTTACGAAAACTATCAAAATCTACATTGGTTATTTTAAGAACATATACATTTTTTACGTCTTGACGTTACTTGCTTTACAATATTTACAAAAATTCCAACGGTGTGAAGGAGGTGCCGGGTCTGGCTGCGTGTTTCACCAAGCGAAGGCGATCTCCGAAGCCGTTGTTGTAGCGATCGATGTCCGAATTGCTCACCACATTATTGAAGCGTCTCGGCAGATAAACTCGCAGGTAGTAGTCATCTCCCGCTTGACCCTCCAGGATGACGATGGTCGTCTCGCCAAATGGTGTAACTACTCTCTCCATCATCGTTATAAGGTATGGAACCTCAGCAATCAAGTCGGTAATTCTGGTGTACGTCGGGGAGCTGTTCTTGCAGGTGTTGAGTGAGGTCTTCAGGTCCATCGGTGTAGCCTGTTCAGTGGTCATCACGTTGTATGTCTCAACAATGTCGCTCATAGTGTGGAAGCTAATAGTGCTGGTGCTAGTGGTGAGTCGTTGATGAACTGGAGCAGACTGATGTTTGTCTCAGACAGACTGGGACTTTTTATTCTGATCAGCGGCCATTTTAGTTGGTGGGAGAGTGGGGGGGATTAATAATGAGCGCAGCTGTTATAACACACGTGTTTACAAATGTCTAGAAAAAAGAGTCGGTTGTCACATGTGGATAGTTTATGGGCACATGTGTTCATTAATTCATATAAACATGTCTATTGCTTTTTACGTACCACACGTTTCTTCGGTTTTACATCTAGCTCGCCACTTTTGCATTGTGTAACAGTTTGAGTTAATCCCGTGAGTTTCGGAGCACCAGTTGTTTTATCAACCCACATGTTTTCGATCTTTTCAATTGCTTCATTAACACTCTCTTGCACTGCTTTGTCTTTGTCCAAATATAAACCGCACATGAACTTCATGTTGACACCTTCATACACTTCCATTTTCAATAAAACACTTCCTTTGTTTGCTGGATTTTGCACTGCATACATATTACCTTTATCCATCCATGATACTATGGGACAATCTGCTGGCGGCTTCGTTACCCATCCTGACTTTTCCACCTTGGTCTTAGCCGGGGAACTCTTCCTTTTCTTCATACTACTACTACTAATACTACTACCACTAGTACTGTTTGTGATTGGAGTCTGTTGAACTGCGTTGTCCGTTATACCGTCTATCTCTTGCATAAATGATTGAATGTATTCGTCAATGCTGCAAGAGGGATTCATATTTACACTGTTCGGCTGCTCCACTGTGACTGACGTGATGTGCAATGAGTTAGGGTTGAGGTGAGCAAGCCACTGCAGGTGTGCCAACAAAATATTTTAATAATTTTTCAAAACAAAACTCGTGGTTTACATTTTGACACTCTATTATATGTTGTAACCTTAGCAGAATAGGTTTACGTAATAATGTTTCAGTCTGTTCTATTCTCAGTTTAAAACGAATACTATCTAAATGTGAGTAGCATCTTCTGTCTTCATAGTCCACAAAATAAAATACAGTAACTATTGGACTTGAAAAAAATACACTTTTCTTACAATTGTGTGTCATATGTACGCTATTTTCATAGTGTACGTCTATTACATCACTATTCCTACCACTTTTTCAGTTGGGTTGGTCGTTCAAACAGTCTGGCAGGTAAAACGGTTAAAATATTTGAAATATGTGAAATACTGCTCTCTGATTGGTCAAAATAAGCTAACATCCTATTGGTGGTAAATAATTGTGCGCTATGCGGAGAATAAAGAATACAAGGGAGGAGTGGGGGGCCGCTTGGAGCGCAGGTGTTGGGAAGCAGCTGCGGCTGACAGTGAGTGATGGTGTAGGGAGGATTGGCTTGGAGACCTCCCACGATGTTGGTCGTTCAAACAGTCTGGCAGGTAAAACGGTTAAAATATTTGAAATATGTGAAATACTGCTCTCTGATTGGTCAAAATAAGCTAACATCCTATTGGTGGTAAATAAGTGTGCGCTATGCGGAGAACAAAGAATACAAGGGAGGAGCGGGGGGCCGCTTGGAGCGCAGGTGTTGGGGAGCAGCTGCGGCTGACAGTGAGTGATGGTGTAGGGAGGGTTGGCTTGGAGACCTCCCACGATGCGTAGGGTGGTTCCAGACAACAAAGGATGACCTTGAACCTGCCCGATGGTGGTAGGGGTTAGCGACGGGGGTAGGGGTGGCGTCGGGGGTGGCGTCGGGGGTGGCGTCGGGGGTGGGGGTGGCGTCGGGGGTGGGGGTGGCGTCGGGGGCGGGGGCGGCATCGTGTGACGTCACACGCTCACACGCTCAATCACGCTCAATCCCGCAGGAGCGGCAAAAACACCCTACTCATATAGTATGTTGGATTTCTTTTTCTTAACATTTAATGTTGGCATTGGTTGCCTTTTTTCGTGGGTGGTTTAAAACTGTTGGCTGGAATTTATCTTCATCTGTCTTCAATTATGTGTAAACTTATTGTCTCATTTTATTGTGTGCTGGAAGGTAATTTATCTTTATCTGTCTTCAACTAATTATGTGTAAATTTATTGTCTCATTTTATTGTGTGCTGGATGATAATATATATTTATCTGTCTTCAATTTTGTGTAAACTTATTGTTTCCTTTTATTGTGTGCTGGATGGTAATTTATCTTTATCTGTCTTCGATTTTGTGTAAATTTATTGTCTCCTTTTATTGTGTGCTGGATGGTAATTTATCTTTATCTGTCTTCGATTTTGTGTAAATTTATTGTCTCCTTTTATTGTGTGCTGGATGGTAATTTATCTTTATCTGTCTTTGATTTTGTGTAGATTTATTGTCTCATTTTATTGTGTGCTGGATGGTAATTTATCTTTATCTGTCTTCGATTTTGTGTAAACTTATTCTCTCATTTTATTGTGTGCTGGAAGGTAATTTATCTTTATATCTGTCTTCAACTAATTATGTGTAGATTTATTGTCTCATTTTATTGTGTGCTGGATGGTAATTTATCTTTATCTGTCTTAAATTTTAAGTAAACTTATTCTCTCATTTTATTGTGTGCTGGATGATAATTTATCTTTATCTGTCTTCGATTTTGTGTAAACTTATTGTCTCCTTTTATTGTGTGCTGGATGGTAATTTATCTTTATCTGTCTCCGATTTTGTGTAAATTTATTGTCTCCTTTTATTGTGTGCTGGATGGTAATTTATCTTTATCTGTCTTCGATTTTGTGTAAACTTATTCTCTCATTTTATTGTGTGCTGGAAGGTAATTTATCTTTATCTGTCTTCAACTAATTATGTGAAGATTTATTGTCTCATTTTATTGTGTGCTGGATGGTAATTTATCTTTATCTGTCTTCAATTTTAAGTAAACTTATTCTCTCTTTTTATTGTGTGCTGGATAGTAATTTATCTTTATCTGTCTTCAATTTTGTGTAAACTTATTGTCTCATTTTATTGTGCGCTGGAATGATGTACTCAATCGTTTCTTGCTGTCTTTAATGCTTTAAATATAATTTGATTTTAAATCCAATTAAATTTAATTAATTTATTAATCTCTTCTTCATTTTATAGCCTTTGGCATTTTATATGTGGCCAAATCCTAGCTTACAGATTAAAGATGTGTATGACAGACGGAAACTTATGTTTCACAACTGTCGATTCGATATATCGAATCGAACCTCAATCGATCACTGCGATGCGAGTACTCGACTACTCGATGGTCCCCGTGCTGGGCACAATAGTAGCCTAGTGAACGTGGACAGAGCAGCATCGCTCGTGTAAATGGTGTAAGTGTCGGTGGCCTCGGATGGTACGAATCGTTATAATTGTCGGTAAGTAGCTACACGTTCCTAATTTACTTGGCACAATTGTCCCTCCTGCAATGCACGCACCCTACGCAAAACCAAGGCGAAAATGTTTTTGTGCGAATTTGTTATTGTGTTAACTTTTTTATCTGTTGAGCGTAGATTTTTTTTATTTCTATAAACATTTGTTGAGCTATGGGGTTTTGTGAGTGCTCAAGCTCAAACGGGAAATAAAATAAAAAGGCATACAATTTTGGGATCATTTTACAACTAAAAAATCTGTATTATTTTGTCAATTATCATTTTTACAAAATTGTATTTAATGTTACCTAATTTAAAACTACAAACTTATATTACTCAATTTGTTTACTATATTTTTATATATAAATAACATTAAAATATATATTTACATAATTTTTGTAATGGTGTTTACAGTATCACTGGAAAATAAATCGTAAACAATTTTGTTATATCAATATTGACTGACAAGTTTTAATGTTAACTTTATGCCAGTTTCAGCAAAATTCGTTACGGTTTCATTAAAGAAATATGCATCCACCTTATATAGGCCTATTTAACAACAACTTTCGTCTAGAAACAATTTGTATAAATGACCTAAAAGTGATATGAGAAGACAAAACATTGTTATTGATTCGATCGAGCGTCTCGGCGATAAGTGCCAAATGACAAATAAACTACTCTCCTTATAAAAAAAAACAGTATTAAGATAGTAGCTTTAAATAACTTTTTTTTATTTGTAAACAATACCTATTTATATGTACCCAAATTACTCTGTCACTCTGTGATCTTTGGTATTCAGAGTTGGTACTAGTAGTTCACCACTTAAAAATTCATAAAATGTTAAACGCAATAAAATCCTCTTTGGTACAAAAAAACATAAGAAAATGGTTTTAAAAATGTAAGTTCATAATTAAGTGAGAGGAGTCAATCTGTACATTGATTGTTAACTACGTAAATTAACTTTAATTATATTGTTTGGTGCATTCACCTCAAGCTAGTTATTTCAACAAATAATATTATAATATTATTTAAATACATTTCCAAAATTACCCTTACGTTAAATCTAAGGCCTGTATAAATTGCTGCAAAAACATAGTAACTTTCAATACAGGTCGAATCACTGACTTAGGGTCGTGTAAAAATTTTACAATGTTACCACTTTATTTATACAAAGCAACATTTTAGTAATAGAAAAAACTATATATTTTTTTCACAATTCTTAATACTTTTGAAACGCCAAAAAGAGTACAAATTTGCTTTAAAATACTTAAAGTTAATGTAGGTATAATAAAGAATTAAGGGAGGCACTGCCTTTTATGGCCAGCCCCATCCTGTGATATAATGGTCAATCTATCACGATATATGATCACGACACAACGCACGGGGATTCCCTACTTATGTAGGAGCGGTGACCCCCGTTACCTATTAGCTAAGTGGCAGGAAACCCCCCCCCCCTTTAGGGGACCCTGGGGACCACGATAAAGGGTCCTCCAGTAGCGCGTGTTACCAAAATAATCATCGGTTCAGGCTACTATGGTGATTGAAAATTATTTTAAAACAGCTGTTAGTGTAAAATTTGGAGGAATTATAACAATTTTCATTAATGGAAGCTTCAGTGTACATTCATAGATTAACACCCCCCTTGTGGACTTATCATCTTAATGGATCAGCTTCAATAAAATTCAAATATTATACTCGGTTCACAAATTTTTGGTCGTTTTTAGAGGGAGAAATCTATCTCATCCACTTGATCCTTCAAATCAATAACTCAACAGCTGAGGTCTACCAAAACATCAATCAGCTGTTTCATAATTCAGTAAGAAAATAGGGGGGGAACTTCCCCTCAAACCGCCTAAATATTGCGAACAGACTATAGTTCTCTCCGTACTGGTTTGTGTAAAGGGGGTGTTTATGTTTACTATTTATTTTTAGTTATTTACTCTTTTATTACTGCATAAAAATCCGTCTAATTATGAACAATATCTTTTTCTGGTATAACCAAAAAGTATCGTAAAATGTATCTAAAAGAACAAACATAGTCTACATCAACGCACTCTGAACGTTACCTACATGAAACACAAAAAGGGCTTTAGATTTAACAACGCAAGTAGGTAGTCTACTAGCAATACTCAAAGTCATATCTTCGTTTAATGTCCTACGAAAACTGTTATGACTTTACACGATACATCAGTGGCTATATAGACTTTTATTTTTCAAATCATTCAAATCATGGACAGTAAAATTACTTTTGAACAGTGTATAAAGACTTTTCATCGTATTGTAAAATATTAAACACGGTTGTTTATGTTATTTTCGTGCTCTTTGATGTAGGTAATGATTATCTTTTATTTTAGAGTAGATTTTACGATTTGTGTCGGCCTATTGAATGGATATCTCTTGACATAAAATATGGTTACGAGTTAACCTGTAAATAAACACTTAAGTGGTTTCAAAATAACAAAAACCTAAAGGTAAACAAAACTTCGTCTACTTAAACTGTTCAGATATGTGTTTGATAATTTTCTTCAGTTGATTCATTAAGATGATTACTCCATGAGGGAGAGTTTTATCTACTCTATGATATAAGTTGGTTTACTTTATAAACAGAACTTTTATTTGACAGCGGAGTTTGTTTAAGAATACATTACTTCCTTCTTTATCATTGGCTACGACTTACGACAACGAGCTGTTTACTAAGAAATGCATTTGTGGTCAACACCGTGTTAGCCACCTACCAACGAATAATATAATAGAGGACTTAGTTTAATAGTCAAAAGTAAAATAAAAATCCTTCCTACAACTCAACTTTCAATGAAAGAAATATTCACATGAACAATTAAACTGATAGTATAACATAGTTTTACGTAATTTTAAAACTTCAATTTTTACATGATCAAATTACGATTAAATTGAAACTTAAATGAATTCACAAATCTTATTGAAGTGAATATGAGTTTCTTAAAGGCTGCATTTATTAATATACAAAGCCTTACTCACCCGACCGATTTTCAATTAGGGATTAATCTTATTGCGATTATTCCTTCGTGACTACGTCTCAATAAAAACAAAACCAGTCAACTGGAAATTCGATTAAGCGTGTTTACTACACTAAATTCCTTCTTGGGGCGGAAAAAATCAAGTAACGAGAAATGTTCAAGAGGGGCGAAACGGAAGTCGACGTCACTGTCGACCACTTCCGGTACACAAGTATCTAAGTGTCGTCAGGTTTAAGTGACACGGTTACCTGTAGTCAAGTACGTGTTGTTATCAACAATGCTTTGTGGCGATTGTTGGGAACATTGTTGTACACGTTTATGTTAAACTGTTGCATGCCTTCGATGAAGTACGAATTCGATTTAAAATGTAAAATGTGACTTTTTAAATGTTTTGGCACGAGTTAATAAGCAGGGAGATTGCATTGCACTGTTGAAATTGTAGGATTGGTTTTGAATACTGGAGTTGACATTCCATCTGTTTGGAACAACTGTATCCAGTTTTATTCTCAGACAAAACAGAGTGTGCTAATAGTTTCTGAGAACATGTCGTAGTGTTTAAGAAGTTTTTTTTAAGTTTTGCATAGTTGCATAAGCATGGAAAGGTAATTTTGCATCAGCATCTTATCGTAGAAGGATTGAACTACGCGATTTTATTGGAAGTTTTATCGTTTTATCGTGCCGTTGTCAATGTGTTCTGACTCATTTTTAGAACGACAACTCACTTAATACTATATTGTCCTCTTTATTTTACCTCAACTATTGTAGTATGAAACCATCAGAGAGAAAAGAAGAATTTCGATAAAAGGACACCTAGTTAAAAACAATAAAATCTTCCCTCAAAAGAAAAAATGACTTATTCGGTGCCAAGAAAAATAACAAAACATTATTCATATACGACTATTTAAAAACGTTGAATACTGTAGCCAAAGCAAATGTTTAAACTGGCGAAACAATAAACTTATTTTAGGTACATAAACGTCATCTAAATTGAATCGATCTTTTTTAATACTCGTGTTTATGAAAATTAACGCAGGTAGAACACAGGCTCAAGTAATGACAAGCCAAGCTTGACCAGTCGATCATTAGCTGTAGGTAACTTTTAAGTAGTTTTTATATAATTTAATTTGTAGTTTAGCAAAGATCTGCAACGCATTACCATAGACTAACCAACACAAGCTTTAACATGTTTAGCCTCTGGATCACGTAATTTACTAATAAAAAGGTTAAATACCTGTAGTACTGTCAGTGATCCTGGAATTTAGGTCAGCGACCCAGGTTTCGAACCTAAAGGTTCATTTTCAAGCAGGTACCATAGTTAAAACACATAATCCTCTTCATAACTCTGGAGAGTCGTTATAACACATAAGACACGAACACGAAAACACTGTTTGTTTAATGTTTAGTGTTTTCGTGTTCGTGTCTTATGTGTTATAACGACTCTCCAGAGTTATGAAGAGGATTATGTGTTTTAACTATGGTACCTGCTTGAAAATGAACCTTTAGGTTCGAAACCTGGGTCGCTGACCTAAATTCCAGGATCACTGACAGTACTACAGGTATTTAACCTTTTTATCAACACAAGCTGTTCCATAAGGATGATAAATCTACTAAGGGGGTACGTTTTATCTATGGTATTACCTTTACACCGACTTCCTAAAGTATAGACATTCAAATCCGTATCTTAAACTAAAACTGTTCCTAAGTAAATCGTACTTTTTATCACTCTAAATGGAAATCGGGACGAAGAAGTCAATTTGCGTTGTTCAATATCACAGTGACAACTCAGCTTGTTGATACATGTTTATGTTGGCAGAACTGCGACGCCACAGAGGAATAAGTAGACCGTGCACAGAGCAATACTCCAGCGCATATTTACTCGCCAAATGTATGTTCAGTCAGTTCCAGCTTTATGGCGTGAGCAGTTGGAGCGTAGAATTCCCACGAAGACTTATTTGGTCACAATGCCAGCGATTTAAACATAAATCACTCATGGATTGATAACTAAACCTT